AAAATATGGAGTGTGGACTGGTAGCTGGAGAGGTGCCAGTTTCACCTCCTGTGCACTGCCGAGGTGCCCTTGAGCAAGGCAACCTAACCCCAAAACCTGCTCCACCATCTCTCCTCTTTGCATGTCCACATGTGCATGAAGTGTGCATTTCAGCCTGTGTGTGTGTGTAGTATGTGTGGGTATAGATAATATATAGTCAGTTGGCTGCTTGGTTGGTTGGATGATTGGATTAACTGTGGGGTTCTCGGGTCGGGCTCAGGTTGGGTTCGCACATAAAAAACAGAATGCTTCTCGGATTCAGCTCGGGTTTGGACAGAAATACGCGTTCCGAGTTGCACTCTAATGTGAACTCACTCAAAGACCCTCAAAGCTGAAAGTCAGCACTTTAACTTACAGTTATAGTTTAATGTCAAATACAGTGTACCAGAGCCAACAAAGTGAAAAACAAACAACTGCTTATATGCTCATATACACATCGTAAATATATTTATTATATATGTGATCAAATCAAATCAAATGTGATTTTAAAGAGATTATATGGCGATCTTTAAAGGAAAAATAAACATAAAATAATGTTCCCAGTCTCAGGGTTCCTATGCGGTATGGAATAGTATGGTATTTGATTTTAGTCATTTCCAGGTCTGGAAAAGTATGTAAAACAGAAAAGAGACATAAAAATGTTTTCAGACTATTCAGAATTTCTAAAAACTAATTGATCATGACTATTGTTTAAGTTGAGTAGTGTTTGGAGCCGGCAGTTAGGAAATGTTTACCACTGCCGTACCTCTTGCTTTACCAAAAGAAAGGCGAGAGGTACGTACCACTGAACGCACACTACTTCAGAGCTGCCTCTACTGCTGAACATCACAGCCTGCAAAACAGCTCTGCCCCAAGCATCTGATAACTGAACCACATCCAGACATCTGCGGACACATTGGTTTGAAAGAAAATGCAGCAATATATCTGAACTGCATATATACATAGAATCACAAATACACAGATTTATGCTTATGAGTTCTGCAGTGATGTAGTTATTAGAAAAGTAAACAGACTATATTTTCTGCGTAAGGACACCCTTATGGCTGCGTTCATCGTTTCCATGGACACAGTGTATAAACAAGACTGCACAGCCATGAAAATTTTATTATTTAACTTTTTTCAACTAATTTAACCAGTTAGTTTCTGCCCATTGTGGGTAAATGTGTGTTTTCTGCTTAACAATCCCAAATCTGTTAGCAATTATTAGTTAGAATGTAACATACATGTTAAACAGTAAATAAATGTACAATAAACATCTATCTCAGATGTCGTATATTATCTGAACAATCTACTCTTAATGGAGAGGAGGACTTTGAATTGGTCTTTTCCTTTGTTGAGATTTCCCTTCACTGATCAAGTTCAACAACACAATTTAATTTGCTCAGCAGAAGTGAACGTTTGCCTTCTCAATTAGCGAGGGTGGCGTGCTGCTCTCTGTTGCAGCCCCATTTTGAGATAAAAGCTGATAAGATGGCTGGATTTATTTATTTTTTTGTCTAAAAACATCTTGTCTGGGGGAAATATATACCTCTGCACGTCCTGCAGCACTGAGCTTAACAGCAACCAGACCAGAGCACAGAGAGCCTGCAGGACCACTGCTTCTTGTCCCCATCCTTCTTTCTTTTACATCCCACTATTTGTTTCTAAATGTGGTGCTGAAGTCTTTGTAGCCTAGCAACAGCCAATGGTGGACGCACACTGTGTTCACAAAAACATGCTCAAACACACACACACACACGCTCACACACATAAAGCGAGTGTATTGTGCGCTATAGAGCGGGCCAGGGAAAGCATTTTGGTTTCTGATTTTTCTTTTTTGTTGCGTTGTCGGTGCTGCTCCCACATTAATTCGGAACTGTGCCTTTCTACTCTTTATCTCACAAATTAAAATTATACCAAATAGACAATAATCCCTATTCATGGGTGGTTTATGGTGGCTTTCTGGCAGCGCTGCTCGCCTTTGTTTAAAGCTGTGCTATTTTCCTGTTTATTCACATAATTTCTCAACTGCGTGCTCCGTTTGAAACATGACTTCTGCAGTTACACCAGTGCAGATGCAGGAGTAAATTCTGTTAGATAAACACATTTAATCAGCAAGTCACAGGGCAAGCTTCATTCTTTTTATGGGTTGTTTCCAATGACTTATAACAAATTTACACTGACAGATATATTTTTTGAGGTAATTTTCAAATCTGTTAAAGGTGGAATCATTTCCAGTGCGAATAAACGAATGAGTTGTGGTTGCTTCATGAGAGTGCTGCAGCCTCCATATATCAGCTCTGCAGTAGCTGCTTGGCCTGTAGCCAGGGAGGCAGATAAAGAAGCCTCTCTGTGGCAGTTTCTCATGCTGTCTCTCTCACTGGCTGAATCCAGGTACTCCAAGATGTACGATCCTGCCAACTGGCTGGAGATAGACCCAGTTAACGGTCGGATTTCCACCATCGCCATCCTTGACCGGGAGTCTCCTTACGTCAAGAACAACCTCTACAACGTCACCTTCATGGCTTCTGATAACGGTGAGGGCAGTGCCGCCGGTGTCCTGTGGTAACCCCATCCCCCCACATACAGAGGTGGATTGTGTTCACTGTGTCTCAGTGCTCTTTCAGTAATTGCAGTGGTGCTGGTTTTACTTTGGAGTCAGTGTCCTAGTCTGGCTTCTGCAGAGTCTCTGCAGTGCTGGGAAAGCAGCTTGAAAACAGACTCAACAATCAACTATCTTTCTATGCTCTGATTGGTTGTTTTTGTTCAGGCCAAGTGGATTCTTGTAAATACCATCAGAAGCACTAGGAGGAGCCGGAGAAACCATATTTTTTCACAGATTATCTGTCTCATGTACTATTCAGGATAAAGTGAAAGTTTCAGCAAATATGAAAAAAAAATGTTCTTATACAAATTACGTACTTCAGCTTTAAAGACTAAACAAAATATAGTAATATAGCATTTAGTCATGCTATCTGCTAAAAACAGCTCACTACTGATTTTGAAAATAGCTTCCCTACCTGAACACTACTGGGAAATGTTAAACTAGTAACATCTCTACATATAGCAATAGAACACCCTTTCGGTTCCCTAGCCATAGCTCCTGCCTTATTTGTACTGCCCATGTGCAACTCTCAACAGAGATGTGAAGGAAGCAAGATGGCTCACACATGTACTTCAGTTATCAGCTTCAGACAAAAAGACATCCTCTACTTCTCTGTATTAACTAAGGTAGCATTAATAACGTAACAAAACGTTGGCACCACCTTTGCTAACATTAGCTAAGTTATCTGAAGTTTGAGAAACAAAATTTCTGACTGCAAAAAACAATCACTTTTGCGATTGAAGGTGGACTTCAAGTGGACTTTAAATCAATTAGTAGAGGTCTTATATTTTTTTACCCAGCGTCTGTTAAGGCCTGCTATCTGCTCCACACAAGCCAGTGGTGTAGAGTGGCCACTGGCCAGATTTGATGTGCATTGTTCAGTGAGAAACTCATTGGTTCTCTTTTGTTTTAAAGTGGATTTCTGAATTGATATTAAATTTGATTCATCATTAAGATTGGTAAAATGTATTTAAAATATTAAGTCTTCCCTCAAAACTGCCTAATGATGCTGTGTCATACACAAGATTCCTGATTAAAATAATTGATTTGACACATTGCTGTTGAATATAGCAAATTTAGGTTTAGTTTGGGTACCCACATGTCCTGCTTCCTGACTGAAATTAAGCTTAAATTTCACAGAATGGGAAGAGGAAGAATTCTTCCTGTGGACAACAGATTGTACTATCCACCTTTAATTACATTTCAGTTCTTTATACCCGTAATCAAATGTCCTGATCGGGGAGGCTTGTAGGATTAAGCTTGTATCTTTTGGACAAAGTGCTCCCATTGATTTCTAATAGAGATGTTTTTCTGCCTATTTAGTGCGTGATTCCCAAAGTCTTTCTCTTGTTCTGATCACAACTGTGCTTTATAACCATGGAAAAGAAGATTCTCTGTTCAAAGTGGAAAATTGTTCAAGAGGAATGTCATTCAGCAGCAGCTCGGTCCATCCACTCTACCCTGTGCCCTCCTCATACAGAGACCCCGCTGTGCTCGCCAGCTTCCTGCTAACTCACTGTCTTGGCACATTCTCTGCCCTTGTCGAGCACACACGCACCGCAAGGAGCCCACTGATAAAAAAAAAAAAAAAAACACAAGGACAAGCACACGCAAGCTTCTGCAAGAGGTTACATGTCTGCAGTTCCTCAGCGGTCGCCATATGTGCACCGGTCACTGACTATTACTGAGCATACTGCAGTTTATAGTGTCCACAAAGAATAAGTTTATGATTTGCATTCATTTCAAATAACCGATGCAGTGGCCTTGTCCCTCTGCTGATGCATTTTACCAGCTTGCATTCATTATTTTTCAATAACTGCCTTTCTGATTATGCCCCATATGCTGCTTGCAAAAATCTACTGGGAATGATGAACTGTACCATGAAAAGACTGAAAACAATGTGTTAGTCTGTCTCTAATATGTGCTGACTTCTGACTGAGGTCGGTCATGCTCATTTGCACAGATATTCAGAAATATTTGATTTTTTGGCACATACAGTATTTTACCGAACTCAGTACAGCATATTTAGATTAGGTCAAACACGACTTAGGAGCTCCTGTTTGGGTATGACTATAGTTTGTCTGAAATTGGTTAGAATTGAAGAGGTATGGCTCAGTACTCAAACATTGTGGCCATTAATAAAAC